AAATGTTAATGAATCTATGTAATGTAAAGTTTTGTGTTTACTTTGCTTACCATTTGCATTGGATTTGATACTCAACGTGGAGTCAGCCCCGTAAATGTTTCCGCCTTCGGTTTTCGGGGTGTGACAAGTTTCGATTATGTTATGCAATTTTCATATTCTTATTTTTATTATTTGAAGATATGGAAAATTTTACAGGTTCATAAATGGTTTTGATCATGATATTTTTTTATATATTTTTTATATATGATCGATTAATGGTTTTCAGAATGGGTCTCAATCTTAATTAAATAATATCCAAATTTTTTACTATTTGCAAGTGCAACTAAAATATGATCAAGTAATTTAAACTTCAATAATAATACCTTGAATTCTAGTCATTGGAAGACAATAAACGTGGATCTCCAAACATTGCAATGTGAATTAATATGCTTAATGTGGAAACCACTACATTGCCATGGTAATTATTTATAAAGTGATTAATATTTACTTGAACCGGAAAACATCTTTTTACATTAAGTTCCACTTTAAGAAAATGTGAATCCAGTTTATTTGGTTAACCTAAAAAACCTTTATATTGATCGGATTAACCCATAGAAACATATGGCGAGTCTATAGTGTTATAAAGGGTGTCCATGGACACCCCTAAATTTCAAACTTTATTTACAAGATATAGCATAAATTCCATGGGACACATGTTGGTAAAAAATCTGGACACCCGTGTATATAGTAACACGTAAAACTATGCTGCTTTCTCCACCTTCATGCGATTGGACTAGACTATCTGTTGCCGGCGCTGCAACCAGAAAATTGTGCTGCTTTCTCCTCCATTCAAATTATTGGGTAAGTCTTTCTTTTTTTTTTCTTAGGACTTGAGGTTAAATTTCTTGTAGCGGTTGATATGAACCGTAAAGCAATTAAATAAAAAGACATAGCCTACCTACAAACCTAAAAGTCATAGTCTAAACCTACTAAAAAAACTAGCATTACGTGTGTGAACATACAGTTGTCTCTAGTTGCTATGTCTAATAACTTTATTAAAATTGTACTAAATAATATATAAATTTAATATCTACTGATAAAAAAGATAATAAAGTTTAAACGAAGCCAAAAAAACATATTAATCTTGTTAGATATAACAAAAAATTATGATTATTTCTTTAATATCCTTTTTTATTTTAGTTTTTATATATTATTTGTTTAGATGTTTTATTTATATTAAAAATATATAGTTATAGTATAGATGTATTTGTTTTTGATAATTTATATGGATTTGTAATTATTTATTTTATTGTTTTAGGAATAATGCTAAAATTTTATATAAAATGGTAAAAAAAAAAAAAAAAAAAAAAAAACTCTTCATTGTCTGATTATGATACCCAACAACAAAACGATGTGCAACAAACACCAACATCAAAGTATATCGACAAACCGACCCGATAACCAAAATTTTCGACCTATTTATTTTACCATTTTATTTAAATACGACACACGTGAGTTTGAATCCTAGATTCGCCATTGCTATTACGTAAATAAAATCAATCGAAAGCACATGAAAGTAATTTTGGAACAAATATACACCAAATACCATTGTGTGAACTACAATATCCACTATTACCACCGATGACCAAAAATTGCAAAATGAACGAGAAGTTTTCCGATAATTAAGAAGCACACAATCTTTCCAAATTAGATTTTGTGCATCTCAAGATCTAGTATGTATCCACATGCATTTAAAAAATCTCGACTAACATAGACGGGATTGTTCCTAATTAATGATATTTTTTTAAAGTAAAAAGTCGTGATATTTCAAATATTTTGATTTTTTAACTGCATTGTAATTGAAACTTGGAAGCTAAATGTACATTATATACAAACATATAGATATGCTTGTCAATCTTAGTTGCATCTTCCCTTTTCAAAATGATGTGACAACATTGGTTTGTAACTCCAATAGAACATAATGAATTTTAAGTTCAACAAATCAAACTTCTCATCACAATATTAGCATGAAAATGCTATCAAAGTAATGAATGTAGGCACACAAACTGAGCGGAAGTGGCCAACAATAATAGCATCTGAAAGAAGATATTATCAATCAAAATAAGACGTTTCCCATCGAGGGGAATCTTATGGGTGGCTTACTTCTGGTACGTCAAAATAAAAACCTAGTACAACTTTTTTGCAAATCGTAGGAAATTTAGAAATATTGCAAACGAATGTTACAACCTTATCCCAAATATTATTTAATTAAACCAAAATCATTATTACTAACAAGCAAACTATATTGCATCCTGACTCAATTTTGACGATGGGGTGTTTGAATCCTCTTCTAATTTTAATATGTGGACCGCATTCTTAAAAATAATTTTAAATCGGACTAAACCAAATTGATAAAAGCAATTGAAATTAGGCTAAATCTATAACGTCATGATTATCACCATAATTTTTTTTCCTTTTTAAAACGTTACTTAAAAAACTCAAACATAATTCCAAACTAGTTAAAATGTAAACAAAAAGTACTTTAAGTAAATAATCAAAAATATGTCCAAAAGTAGTATCGTTAATACAAATCTACCCATAAGAACCCCTCTCACCAATGCCAATCTTCTAAACTGTCTGCACCAATCATAAGGCACAAAAGAGAAAAGATACAAGTGTCAGCCCCTGCCGAGTGAGTTCATAAAGTTGCAAAGAAAACATACAAACCCAAATGGGTCAATCATTCATTTTACAATGAAGCATAAAAAGGAAGACAAATACCACTTAGAAAAAAACCGCATATCATAACTATTTAATCACATATTCAATCGCATACATGCATATATGTTTAACCATAATTCTACCACATAACGTATATGATCAACCAAATACCACATAAGCAACCACATAGCATATAAATAATCACCTTTCATATATAAGCAACCTTTAACTGTTCAACCTTTTATCGATAACCAACCTTTTATTACATATTCAACCTTTTAATATACAACCAACCTTTGTTATATAGTCAACCTTTTAATATGTAACCAACCTTTTGTTACTTATTCAACCTTTTATTATATATATGCAACCGATTCATAGAAATGTGTCCCTTAGTGCTATCCAACCCAAGAGAAACACCCCGTTCACTACCTGTGTGCATGGCCAACCAAATGCTCTAAGTGGCTCATGACTTCCACCCGAAACACCAACCCCATGACTCCACTTTCGCTACTCGGACTTCGCAAAGTACAAGTACCTCGCGGTGTCGTTCAGGAACAGTACAAATAGTGTGAATTCTAATGATACACCTCCCGATTCTCACATGATGTTTGATCCAGCTACACCAAAAAGCCAACACCATTCCGGTTCCCGTACACCAAGGTGCACGTGAACCATGTGTCACACGACCGTCTAGAAAGACCGTGTAACTAATCACCGTTATGGATTAAGCTCTTTCAACAGATTAAACTTGCAAGGTTCTACCCATGAGACAATTATACCCCTCAAACGAACAATCATACATCAACGTAGACATGCTACTCATACAGACCTTAACAAGCAATGCAACATATAATAAAATTCATCATATTATCACCTTGTTATGACATATGTCTACCAATGCATTACATTTTTAATTCAAAATGACCATGCTAGATAATCAACCAATTCAAGCAATGTAACAAAAAGACATACCATCAATCAAGCATAACATATGAATATGGGTTTCATTAGGCACAACCATCACAAGAAATTTCAACCAACACATATCAATCATAATTCGAGCAACTTAAGCTAGCATACTACATACATCAAGTTCATCAAAGTGTAAGCAACATAACAATTAGGTCATAACATGGAATTAGCACAAATCATATATTAGCATCAAAAATATCATATCATCATCAAGCACAACTAATGACATGGTCATCCCAAATTGAATTAAATCACCATCTACAGATTGCACGTTTTAATCATGCAACCTTAGTGAGTTAAAACTATGAACTCACCTTTAGCCTTGAAGAAATCCTCCTTCTATTCCAAGTCTTGAACTTTCTTGAAATTCTCAAGGCCCCACCTAAACACCACACATAACAAGCAATTAACAAATAAAGTATATGTTTCAAAAATACAACTTTATTCTAACTTTTATATATATATTTTTTATAATTCCCCACCCAACCCCCGTTCAGTACGTTAAGCATAAAACCGAATCTACATATCTAATTGGGACGACATCAGACTTTTAGGAAACTAGACTCAATTTCGTAGAGCTTCATGAGAGAGGAGCATCTTCCAATTCTGCCCAGATTAGCAGTTATAGCTCTCGTAAGATGGGGAAAAGTTGTTGTGCAGAATTCCAACATTCATCAAAAATCACCATATGCTTTGAGACTTTAGGTAAAGGATTATAGTCACTCAATTTTACACACAAAAGGATTGAATGATACTATTAAGACAATATCATATCTAATATTTAATTTGTATTATCGGCTTTCAAACTATTTAAATGTTATGGACAATGTGATGTATTTGTTTTACGTTTCTTTTATTCCAAAACAATTATAAAGGCATAAAGCTATCACTAATTTTATGTCCATTAAGCTTCATGTTATGATAACAAACAGAAGAATAAATCGTAAACACTCCCATATGTTTACTCTTACTGTCTCTTTTTTTGCTATTTTTTACAATTAAGATTAAATAACTAGTATATTACCTCTAACATGTATGCATCGTTTTTCTTTTTCAAGGTCAAAATATGTATGTTGTAACAACAATACTGAGACACCATAGGGTTTAGATATGCATGAACTTTTAACTCATACTTGGGGATATTTAGAATAGGACCAATGGCAGCAACAATTCAATACCACATGTGTTGATATGTCAAGGATAAACTAGACTAGTTTGGGCAGCAACATTCATGAAACGGAAATGAGAGGAGGAATACATACACATCAATTAAGACGTCGGGAAGAATAGGACCGGAAACAAACGAATCAAATTGTACAGGAGAGATGATAGCAAGTGTGAAACAAAAGGTAAAGAAAGTTTACCGTGGTGACGACATACAGTTGTGGCACAAGGTAGTGATCGGTTTGTAGCAGTAAGTTGTCGAAAACACACCACACACGCGTCTCTGGTTCTTTCAATCACTCTCGTGCTTTCTCCCGTTAGAGTCGATATCGTCTTACTTACGCCGGGCATGAAGCAGCCGTTAAAAGAGGAGCACGAGCGTTTCTTTTTAGGTTGAGGGCAGGCACAAGAATCGCATCTCTAAATATTATTAAAAGAGAACCTTAAATTAAAAATTGAAGAATTAAGGACCCTTGATTGTATTTCACTTCTATTATCTCCACCTTCAGATCATTTTAATAATGTCATCCTCAAATATACACGCGCTTCATATTGTAACTTACCTCTTACGTTTCAAACCTAATTTCATTTCTCGGTTTTTTTTTTCTACACACAGCCATTGTGCAATCAACCATCGTCAAAGGCTCTCAAAGCATATCTCTTATGTCTCTCGTTTATCTCTTGAGTCTTTGGCAACCGTTTGTTACCACCACTGCCAGTATATGCTGCTGATACAACCTACAAGAAGGTAACTGACCATCCCATCTAATCTTTATTTTTGTTTTTCGATCATAGATACACGTGGTTTTGAATTTTTTGGGAGTTTTTTTGTTAGTCGAACAGATGCCAAGAGCATATATCAACATCGCCATGATCTTCTTAGTTTTCTAATTCATGTACCTCTTATCTCTTTTGTTCTAAACCTTAATCCATTCCTTCAATCTATAAAAGAAAACATAACCCTATCGAATCGATCCTATCCTATGTGTTATCAATGAATCGATACCAGTAATTCGGTTTATATATGTCAAATGCAAAATCTTTCATTGCTGAAAGTGCATATTGTATCAACCTGTGAAAACTATGTTCTATTTCCATCAAACTAAGTTTTTAACAAGTTTCATACTTTCACTTTGAATGGAAGAATGTATATCATATATTCCGGTTGATCGTCATCACCGGAAGTTGCATTATGACAAACATGCCTATTAATCAGATTAAAAGTCTAAAACTCGTAATTGGGGCAAGGGTATTTTGGTCTTTTAGCATTCTGATTCATTATTGTTTATATATATATATATATATATATATATATATATATATATATATATATATATATATATATATATATATATATATATATATATATATATGTTATTCGTGTCCTTGGCACCTACAACATTAATATCTTGAGATGAAAATGGAGTGTGGTGCATGGATAAAGATTTGTTATGAAGTATTTCATTTGCAAATATTTCACATAATAATTAAATAAGTAGAATTTAAATATTTATAAAATAATGGAATGTGTATGTTCAGGTTCATAGATTTCACCAGGTGTCCCTGTGTCCCTCCAGGTGGTTCTGAGCACATGAGAAATAATCAACATATTTGGTCCACGTGAGAATGTCATCAAAGGCATCAAATTAATTCGAGTAATAACATATGAGGTGATTAATCCATTGTTCTTAATGTATAATTAAGTTTTTATTATTATTATTATTATTATATATATATATAGTAATATAAATTAAGGTTTTAATTTGTTGTATGAATGCAGCCTGCGGAAGTTTCTACAGCACAAGAGGAATTGTGGCATGAGTTTAACGAACCTTGTTGGTGTGAGTATTTTGAACGTAAAGAAGCAGAAGAAGTCATGCTGAAGGAATCCGATGAATCGGAAAAAGGGAAGCAACAGGCTGAGGAAGGTGGTTCCGGTGATGATGGGGAATCAAGTGCAAAAGAAGCAACAGTAGAAAGCTGTGAATCTGAAAAAAGGAAAAGCAAAAAATTACTACTTTTCAACAAATGAAACCAGAGGGATGTAAATCGTAAGAAACATTATAAAGAGAGTTTAAAGTACCTAAATGGAGTCAAACTTTTGGATATATCAAATATGTTTATGATGATGATCATGAACTGGAAATATTAGGGAAGAGGGAAGGTGTGTCACACCCCGAAAACCGAAGGCGGAAACATTTCCGGGGTTGACTCCACGTTGAGTATCAAATCCAATGTACAGAGTAAGTAAATTAAATCAACCATTACATTACATATATGAAAGTTTTACATTCGTTTCAAAAGCATAAGTTATACAAGTTTCATAGATACATAGTTTATATGAACAAAATGAGACGAATCTTCTACGCACTCCGTCTTCGCGAAAAGAGATCATCGGGTACCTGTCTAATGTGAACCTGAGAATACAAGCAGTTTAAAAATCAGCATAAAGCTAGTGAGTTCATAAGCGGTTTTGTTTTTTGAAAATGTACGAGTTCCCTTAGTTTTCTGAAAACGTGGTTATCCAAAAAAAATCCCATGTTTTCTTATGTAAAGTTAGTTTCCAAAACCGAAAAGTAAAGTAAACGATGTACAATGAAAACATGATTGTTCTTGTGAATTGTAAAGTTTAGTTATCTAACTTGTTACACTTTTCTGGTTACATACTACTGTTACTCAGGAAAATCCTATATTTTCCTACATGTGTGTGTGAACTATTACTGATTCTGTGTGTACGAACTGTTACCGGTTCCGATTATGTTCAATGTTGTCCCCAGGAAAACCCCATGTTTTCCTGAATTTGTGTGTGTACTGTTACCAATCCTGTGTGTGCTAACTGTTACCGATTCCGATTATGTTAAATGTTATTGATGGGTTTTAGCCATAAGAACTTTCCTATGTGCGCATGCAAAACCCTAATGCTTGGATCTAGGATTTCTAATTAAACATGCTTTGAATCCAAGACTTCTAATGGCTAATTAGGTTAAATAACAACATTGAAACAGATCTAGAACCATACCTCTGAATTCCTAGTTGATCTTTTTGTCTTGGAGCTTCTAGAGTCACAATTGTCACTCCTCTAATGGCTTACAAACACCAATAGCAAGGAAGATGATTTAGGAGAGAGGAGAGGGGAGGAAATCGGCCAGGGTTCTCTTACTTTAGGTGAGGTGCTGATTTCCCTTGCCCATGGGGTCTATTTATACTTGTAGATTCCTTAAGGGTTACAACCTAAACCCTAATTGGATAATCTTCTCTTAAGGCTATCCAGATCCTTTCCTTAGATAACTCATTGGACGATTTTGAAGCTATCCTAGCTTCTAGAATCCGTCCACTATATATCTATAAGGATTTATAGTCTAAAGCTTAACTATCAAACAATTGACAGTTTATACCCCTTTATTTAATTAACCTCTTTAAGTCACCAAATTAATTCCAATTAATTCTATGACATATATTAATCAAATAACAATATTTTATTCTTTATATTATTCCCATAATATATTAATAATATTTACTCTCTCTTAATAAATCATCCTATCAAGCTGCTATGGTGAAGGCAACCCAAAAGGACCACGCACAACCGGGTCAAATACTTGCCTAATATAGTTGTAGCCTTAGACACTATTCCAACAGTCTCCCACTTGGATAAGTCTAGTAACTATATACACAAGTATAATTCGGTTTGCTCTCCAAGACGCTGTCAAACTCTGATCTAATCAATATTGTCCTTTAGATAAGGGATCGTACAGTCCTCTGTTAGATATCTTGCTGACAATCCTATGGAATGGTTAGTCAAGCATTTAGGTTTCTCGATCTCTGATTTATTCGACATAGAACTTAATCGAACACATCAATTCAGTTCTGACCGGGCCCGGCAGATAAGTCAAATCAAATCATCGAGCGACCGAGATATCACTTTTACCTTCTTAGATAAAAGTTACAGATAAACTTCAACTTATATGCATTTACTTATTCATTAATCAACTATACATAACAATGCGTTTTATAACACCGAGTTACTAATGCGTTTTCGCATTATCAATGTACAATCAATTAACAAATAAAAAACCATATATCTAGGTTTTAAGACTATATGATATTATCGTCTTGCGATCATCCTTTTATATCATATTCCATAAGGTGATCCCAGCAAGCGCGGGTTTGTTCCAATGCTCAAAACTAGTTCATAAGCACTCATGAACGTTGCAGCAACCCTTTGCTATGTCTAAAACCATTTAGATAATCTACACACCAATTCATGACAATCTTCATTCATATCTACTTCCAACATATGAACGATTGTGGATAATTTGAACAATTCGATTATTCCTAATAAACTCAATTATTCTGGAAGTCAAAACATGCAAAGTGAAACAATAGTTAAACAATTAACATAAGACAGTAACATTACTCATAAATAAAACTCCTTTATTTAATCATCAAATGTTAATTACATTTATCTATTACACGTTTCTAATACTATCTAATCTATGCTAATATCATCCTTCAGCCCAATACTCCTAGCATGCTGCAAGTGCTTAACCCTACTCAGTCCCTTCGTAAGCGGATCTGCTGGGTTATCTTCTGATGATATCCTCTTCACTACGAGTTGTCCTTCTTCTACACGATGTCTAAATATTTTCTGTCGATATGTCTTGATCTACCATGATCCCTCGGTTCCTTGGTCAAGGCAACCGCTCCTTCGTTATCACAGAAAATCTCCATGGGCTCCTTTATGGCAGGTACGACTCCAAGATCACCGATGAAGTTCTTTAGCCATATTGCCTCCTTCGACGCTTCGCTCGCTGCAATGTAATCTGATTCGCACGTTGAATCAGCTACGGTCTCCTGCTTGGTACTCTTCCATGTCACTGCTCCTCCATTTAGGGTAAAGACCCAGCCCGACTGCGAATGGTAGTTGTCCTTGTCGGTCTGAAAACTGGCGTCACTATACCCCCGCACCTTCAAGTCATCACTCCCTCCGAGGACTAAGAACCATTCCTTCGTCCTCCGAATGTACTTAAGGATATTCATCTTCGCTTCGTACAAATCCAAACTCTTTGACTTTCTCATCGAAGAAAAGATTCCTTCTGCAAGATGCTTGCTTAGGTCCATAAATGGACTTCTCAAACTTACACACTCTATTCGGATGTTTCGGATCCACAAACCCCTCTGGCTGAGCCATGTAAACATCCTCAGCCAACTTTCCGTTAAGAAAAGCGGTCTTGACATCCATTTGCCAAATCTCATAATCATGAAATGCGGCAATTTCTAGCATCACTCTAATAGATTTAATCTTCGCAACTGGTGAGAAGGTATCATCATAGTCAACTCCGGGAGTTTGAGTAAAGCCCTTCGCAACCAATCGCGCTTTATATGTGTGTACGTTCCCATCCACGTCGGTCTTCTTCTTGAAGATCCATTTGCACCCAACGGTCTTACATCCGGGCACATAATCAACCAAATTCCAAACTTGGTTATCATACATGGATTGGATCTCGCTATCCATTGCCTCCTTCCACTTCGCAGACTCCGGGCCTGCCATGGCTTCCTTATAGCTATTAGGTTCATCAAGATTTATTAGTGCACCATCACTAATATACGTGTCCCCTTCGGTAGTAATATGAAAACCATAAAACTGGGGATGAACTCTAACTCTATCGGAACGTCTAAGAGGTAAGGATTCGTCAATCGGTTCAACCGGAGTTTCCTCCTCGGGTTGAGTGCCAGCGGTAGAGGTTCCTACATCTATCGACTCTTGAATCTCTTCAAGTTCAATTTGCCTCCCACTGTCTCCTTGGCTTATGAGTTCTCGCTCTCGGAAAACTCCTCTCCTCGCAACGAAGACAACATTGTCCTTCGGTCTACAGAAGAGATATCCAAAGGATGTCTGTGGGTAGCCGATGAAAATACATCGCTCACTTCGAGGTTCAAGCTTGTCATAAGTATCTCGTCTTACGAAAGCCTTGCAACCCCAAACCTTGATATCTGCCAACGAGGGAGCTTTCCCTGTCCACATCTCGTGAGGTGTTTTGGCAACCTTCTTAGTAGGGACTCGGTTAAGGATATGGGCGGCAGTCTCTAAGGCATACCCCCAAAAAGAGATAGGTAGTGAAGCACGACTCATCATAAAGCGAACCATATCCAATAAGGTTCGATTAAGCCTTTCTGCCACACCATTCAACTACTGTGTCCTACGAGGCGTCAATTGCGAAACTATTCCACACTCCTTGAGATATTCGTGGAATTCAAGACTTAGGTACTCTCCTCCTCGATCGGATCGAAGCATCTTGATTTTCCTGCCCAATTGATTCTCCACTTCATTCTTGAACTCTTTGAACTTTTCAAAGGTTTCTGACTTTTGCTTGATTAAATAGATATACCCATATCTACTATAATCATCGGTAAAAGTCATGTAGAAGCGGTTCCCATCCTTCGTGGTTGATCTAAACGGTCCACATACATCGGTATGTATTAGGTCCAATAGACCTTCACCCCTTTCACATGTACTTGTGAAGGGTGACTTTGTCATCTTTCCAAGTAAACAAGACTCGCATGTGTCATCTTCCCTAAGGTCGAATGACTCCAACACTCCATCCTTTTGGAGTTGGGCTATGCGTTTCTTGTTGACATGTCCAAGACGACAATGCCACAAGGATGCTTTATCCATACTAGTGGAAGAATCTATATTCAAAGCATCATTTCCTAAGTTATCAACAATCATAACAGTTTCATATATTCCATTACATGGTATAGCTTCAAAGTAAAAGACACCATTTAGATAAGCCAAAATAGAACCATTCTCATTATTAAAAGAAAATCTAAATCCTTGTCTATATAAACCATGAAATGAAATGATGTTTCTAGCCATTTCTGGCGAATAGCAACAATTGTTCAAATCTAAACACAAATTATTCCTAAGCACTAAAGAATACACTCCAATCTTGGTCACAGGCGACGATCTTCTGTTCCCTATGATTAGATTGATCCTTCCTTGCTCCACATCCCTACTTCTTCTCAGTCCCTGCA